AACCAGAAGCTCATGAGGGCAGGACCAGGCCTTGTGTCCACTGCTGAGCCTAGCACTTGACAGTAGCAAAGACACTTGTCACATGACCAAATGTCCTTTTTCCTCCTTCCCTGGAGATGTCCTACTGCCTCACTGGACAGAAGAGGAGACCAAGGGTCTGAGGTGACCACCCCCATTTCCCAGGGCCCGGGCTTGCTGCTTACCTGGCTCAGAGGCCCCATCACGGGGCCTGGCGGGCACTGGGCGGGGGCCCCGTGGGCGAGGGCCGGGCCGGGCCAGGGCCACAGGCCCCAGGAACTCGACATAGGTGCCAGGGAAGTCACCTCGCTGCCGTGTGCGTTCATTGAGGCCAGGCATCCAGCCCACACTCTGTGGGCAGCGCTCGCCACCCTCGGCCACACCCAGTGCCTGCAAGGCCGCCCGGCTCACCACCAGCACGTCGCCAGGCAGCAGCTCCAGGTCCTCTGGCCGCTCCCGGCGGAATGGGTACAGAGCACGGTACTGGAAGCCCTCAGGGCCCGCCATGGCCACGTGGGTGGGGTGGGGTCTGGATGCTTAGGCAGCTGCTTGGAGTCCCACTGGCCCCATTGGCCAGAGCGGAGCCTGGGAGGGTCCGCTGGTTTGGCTTGGGGTGCTCGGACCTCTATCTCCAGCAGTCACAGGCGACCACGGGGGCCGCTCATGTCTCTCTTCAAATTATTCCATGACCCTGACAAGGGCCACTGGTCGCTGGGTCCACCATTCGTCAACTTGTGGGAGGCGGTTGGTGGCGGGGTCTCAGGTCACTGGGCCACTAAGTCCTCCATCGGCAGGTGGGGCTGGGGCAGGCTGCTCACGCCCTCACATGGAGGGCCATCAGCACCCACGGCTGGCGGCTCTGCTGGCTGCGCCAGACGAGGGAGCCAAGGGAGCAGACTGCCACCATGCTGGGCTGGCCGAGGATGCCGACCTAGGGAGACAGGGATAGGGCAACGCTAGCCAGGCCGACTCCTTTCCCCCCAACACAGACACAGGCCCAAATCCTGATGTGGAATTCCCTGAATCACACTGGTTGACCCTGGGGCCAGTCCCTCTCAGGGCCTCAGCTTCTCCATCTGTAAAATGGGTATGCTGCCAGCCTTCCCTTGGAGCTGCTGGGAGTAGAGCTCCCAAGAACCTGCCCCAGGTATACTACATGCTCAGTAAACCGGTTTTTTCTTGTTTTTTTTTTTTGAGATAGAGTTTTGCTCTATCACCCAGGCTGGAGTGCAGTGGCACCATCTCAGCTAATTGCAACCTCTGTCTCCCAGGTTCAAATGATTCTCCTGCTTCAGACTCCTGAGTAGTTGGGATTACAGGCCGGCTAATTTTTGTATTTTTAATAGAGATGAGGTTTCTCCATGTTGGCCAGGCTGGTCTCAAACTCCTGACCTCAAGTGATCCGCTCACCTTGGCCTTCCAAAATGCTGGGATTACAGGCATGAGCCACTGCCCCTCAATAGAGGTGGGGTCTTGCTATGTTGCCCAGGCTGGTCCCAAACTCCTGGGCTGAAGTGACCCTCCTGTCTTGACCTTCCAAAGTGTTGCGATTCCAGGTGTGAGCCACTGCACCCAGTAAGTAAACAAGCTTTTCATCACCCCTGTTACAGATGGGGAAACTGAGGCTCAGAGCAGGGAGGTATCTAGAGCCTTGCGGTAGGCCAGGAGGAAGCCAGGACTTACACTCAGATCCTCAGACTCCAAGGCCCAGATGGACATGACGGGGAAGGAGCCAGGTGGCCAGACACCCAGGGCAGGGAGGATGAAATGTGGGCCCCTCTGGCTGCTTTGGGAGCTCCCTGGAGGAGTCAGGCCAGCCGAACTAAGAGGGAGGGAAGGAAGTCCAGGGAGAGGCCCCTGCACAAGCAAAGACCTAGAGGTAACTCCAAGCAAGTGGACCTCATGTCCGGAGGGAGAGTGGGTGGGGGCAGGGAGCTCCAGCCTGGGGCCCGGAGTAGGTGCAAAATGCAGATGGGAGAGGCCGAGCTGGTGGCTCATGCCTGTAATCCCAGCACTTTGGGAGGCCGAGATGGACGGATCACCTAAGGTCAGGAGTTTGGGACCAGCCTGACTAACACGGTGAAACCCCAACTCTACTAAAAATACAAAAATTAGCTGGGTGGTGGTGGGCGCCTGTAATCCCAGCTACTTGGGAGGCTGAGGCAGGAGAATCGCTGGAACCTGGGAGGTGGAAGTTGCAGTGAGCCGAGATGGTGCCACTGCGCTCCAGCATGGGCGGCAGAGCGGAGACTCTGTCTCAAAAAAAAAAAAAAAAAATTGCAGACGGAGAGGTGTTCAAAAGGAGTCTTAGCCCCAGGGAGAGACAGGGAGGGACAGGGAGCTAGGAGAAGGTGGGGTGCTGCAGCTGAGGAGGGGAGGCTGCCCACTGCAGGGCACCGATCACTCCCCAGGAGCCCTAGCCTGGGGAGGCAGAGATGGGCACACATTCCCAGCCTAGCCCTGCGGGTTCAGTCCTCCTGTGACGAAAGGGCTAGGGTGGAGGAACGGACGTGCTTTTCTAGAGAATGGGTCATCACAGTGGATAGGAAGGTGCACTAGGGAGAGGGGACAGTGCATGCAAAGGCTTGGCAGCGGGTAAGGTGCCTGTCAAGGATTCAGGGTGGCTATAAGGATAGGTGCCAGCCACCAAGGGGCCCGGGTGTCAGGTGGAGGCTCTGAGCACCCTTCAGCCATGGGGAGCCCCAAGAGGTGTCCGAACAGGGAGAAGAGGCTCCACATACTCGGGTGCCCAATTTACCCACTCCCAGGCCCCTGTTACCCTCGTTCTACAAGTGGGGTAACTGAGGCCCCGGGAAGGGATGCCCAGGAAACGGCCTGCATCTGTCTGCCAGCCCGCCTCCGCGCCCCGGTGTGCGCGCCCCGGGAGCAGCGCTCCCCGAATACGGGAGGCGGGAGGGGCGGGGCAGGCAGGGCTGGGGGCTCCCCGGGTAAACGCAGGGCCTCCGCGCTCACACGGGCGCGCACTTGGATCTGCGTGGACCTGGCCGCCCGGCCAGGCGGCCGGAAGTGGGATCGACCCCCGGCTCTCCCGCACCCCATTCTGCCCCGCACAATGCCTGGGCGCCCCTCGATACTATTCGACGCCCCACTCCAGGCAGGGCCTCCTTGCATTTGGGGCCGCGGCTCCGGTCCTGTATCTTGAACGCACGGAGTCCCCCCATTGTGCCCCGATCGTCCCGGGGAGGCTGCACCGCTGCGGAGCCGAGCTCGAGACACCCCCTCCCTGCGGCCCCCCAGTTCCCGCGGGGCCCGACGCAGCCTGGCGCTAGCGTTCAGGCTTCCAGCGGGGCCCCTCACTGGTCCTGGGCGCCCCGCATTTAAGCACACTCCCAGCCCCTCCCGCCAAGAGGGCCAGTCAGGACTCACCTGGTCGCGGCCGCCACCGCCGCCGCAGCCGCCGTCACACCAAGCCGAGCCCGCCCCGTGGCTCCACCGCGGCCACCGTCGCCGCAGCCGCGGGATCCCCGCCTCCGCCGCCGCCACGGTTCCGAGTGGCCTGGCCCGCCCCCGGCGGAAATGCCCGAGCGAATTCGGGCCGGGCGGGCGAAACAAGGCCGAGGCGGAGCCTGAGGGGAGGGGACACCCGAGTGTTTCCGGAAGTAGCCGAACGTAATCCCGCGGGACTGGCGGACTAGAGAGCGCCCCGACACAGCCGAGCATTTCCGGAGGCAGCCGAGCGTAATCGGGTCGGCGAGATCGCCCAGGCTGGCTCGGTTGGGCTTAGAGACGCCCGAGCACTTCCGGAAATGGCCGAACACACTCGGGCTGGGGACACAACTGAGGCTGATCCCCGAGACCGCGGAGCGTTTCAGGAAAGAACCGAATGTGCTCAGTGCCCAGTGGAGGCCATGGGAGTTTAGACCCAGAGGCGACCGCCAGCTTATGCAAATTGCTGAAGCATAGATGGTTCCGAGGGAGCGAGTGAGTTCTCAAGCTCAGCAAACAGGGTGGCAGTAGAGTGGGGAAAGGGCCTGTGGCAGAAAGCCGAGGTCTAAGTAGAGCCAGGATTGAAGGAGTTTCCATGGCAACCCAGAGCGTCCGGAAACAGCCTACGATCTCGACCCTTGTGGGCACTAGAATTTAAGGGGACTTGAGCCCAGATGCCGGCTGTTTCCGGAAATAACCGAACGCACTCGGAGACGGGGACGTAGCCAAGAGAATTTGTAAGCCGGCTGAGCGCCCCGGAAGTAACGGATTGCTCTAGGGCTGGGCTGGTTTCGACTAGAGGGAATTTTATGGCACAGAAAGACACGACGATTGCGTATTTATTTTATTTTTATTTATTTATTTACTTTGAGACGGAGTTTCGCTCTTGTTGCGCAGGCTGGAGTGCAATGGCGCGATCTCGGCTCACCGCAACTCCACCTCCCAGGTACAAACGATTCTCCCGCCTCAGCCTCCCGAGTAGCTGGGATTACAGGCATGCACCACCACACCCGGCTAATTTTGTATGTTATAGTAGGACGGGATTGTTCCACGTTGATCAGGTTGGTCTCGAACTCCTGACCTCAGGTGATGTGCCCGCCCTGGCCTCCCAAAGTGCTGGGATTATAGGCGTGAGCCACCGCAGCCGGCTGCTTATTTATTTTATTAGCATAGTTCAAGGCGCCCAGGATCGAGGCTGCAGATGGTCGTGATCGAGCCACTGCCCTCCAGCCCCGGTTACAGAGCGAGACCTTGTCTCAGAAAACAAACAAAAAAACCTCCCATAGTTCAGGGTCCCATCTGTCTGGAGGAAGCTTTTAAGGGCAGAACTATTATGGAGTACTCACAGGGAGAGGGTAGCAGGAGGTGGGTACTCACGATGGCATCAGGAAGAATCTTAAGGGCGAACTCCTATGCAGCCCTCAAAACCCTCTTGCCATGACTTTGACCCATGGGTCTATTTCACTCCGCTCCCCTCCCGACTCTTCCCTTCCTCCTTTCTCAGTCCCTCATAAAGCCAGACGTTGGAGCTCATCTTTGTAAATACGGGCTTTTATTCACTGCCAGCTCCAGGATGGAAGGAGGGGGCGAATCATGCACAGCCTTGGTCTACCCTCCAACACTAGGGAGTGCTGCGCAGGGGACTCAGAAAGGGACGCAGAGTGGGCTGTTGGTGTCTGGAAAGCTCCCTCACCAGAGTGCCCAGTGGGTCACATCCCACCATGGGGGATGATCCAGGGCTGGAGTCGGCTGCATCTGACACCAGACCCTCCATTCAAGCTCCCTTGATGACAATGCCCACAACGGGGTCTGGCTGATATGCTCTGTTCTGCCACGACTTCTGCCGGGTGATCGAGGGACAGGTCTCTGCCCCTCGCTGGGGTCTCAGCTGCTTTGTCTGTAAAACGGAGGTGATGACGCCACCTCCAGCCTTCTTAAGGCTGGCTGAGGGAGAAGCCACGAGTAAAAGCGCTTGGCACACAGTAGGTGCGTAATGAACAGTCAATGGGATTAGTCTTGTAAACACAAGGAAACTGAGGCACAGAGTGGGAAAGCCATTTTCCCAGAGCCACACAGTGAAGCTGAAATTCAAACTTGAGCCTCGACTGGGTTTTCTGGCTTGAGCTTCATCCCAGAGAGGCTCTGACACAGGGAGGGAACCCCTAGCGGGTGTTTCAGACACATCACGGTCAAGGGCTTGCTCTCCCGGGCCTCAAACACACGGCATCTTGTCCAGGACAGACGGGACAAGGCGAGGCCGAGGCGGAGCCCAAGGGGAGGGGACGCTGAGTGTTTCCGGAACTGGCCGAACGTAGTCCTGCGGGACTGGCGGAATAGAAGGTGCCCCGGGATGCCGAGCATTTCTGGAGGCTGCCTTGGCAGTGCCAGGTGAGGCCTGCACCTTCCTGCATCAGTGTGCACCTGGGGAGCGGATGACCCCTCTGCGCAGTTCCGGTGAACACCTATTCATCCATCAAAGCCCCAGCTCCCACATCCCTTCTCCAGGCTGAAGCTAGTAGGATTAGAGGCAGACTCTATAGCAGGGATGGTGGGAGGTGGCCTTCAGAGTCCAGTCCATCATTGGGATTACACTGTTTTGTGGGTGAGGGGAATCGTTTACGGACTCCAGGTGGTATCCAAACTGGGCCTGTACAGGTGAGCTCAGCTCCATTCCCTCAAATGGGTGGGTCTTGGGAGGGGAGTGAGACTAGGTAACACAAAACACTTAAAAACTACAGAAAAACTAGAAAACACAAACGCAGATGATTTGTCCAAAGTGCTTCCTTCTCAGCCCAGCGGGCAGGACCTGCAAACAGGGTCCCAGGTACCTGGGGCAAGACCTGGTAGCCGCCTTCAAGGGGTGGCTCAGTCCGCTATCGCTTATAAAAACTAATAAATTAGGCCAGGCGTGGTGGCTCACACCTGTAATCCCAGCACTTTTGGAGGCTGAGGCAGGCGAATCACGAGGTCAGGAGTTCGAGAGCAGCCTGGCCAACATGGTGAAACCCCGCCTCTACTAAAAATACAAAAAAATTAGCTGGGCGTGGTGGCACGTGCCTGTAATCTCAGCTACTCAGGAGACTGAGGCAGGAGAATCTCTTGAACCTGGGAGGTGGAGGTTGCAGTGAGCTGAGATCAGGCCACCGCACTCCAGCCTGGGTGACAGAGTGAGACTAAGTCTCAAAAAAAAAAAAAAAGTAATAAATTAGTTGCAGGATTTGTCGCTATTTACAAAGCCACCCGTGTCCCCCATTCCTGCCCTGTCCGGCCCCGATTGACACCAGAACACAAGGGAAGCCATGTCTCCACCTTCCAGCAAGGACCGAGACGGCTTCTCGCCTTCCGGGTGTCAGACTGGTGGCTCAGGCTCCATCCAGGCATGGCTTTATGGGAAAAACATTGCACAAAAAAATGCGTGACTTTGAGGCCAGGGAGAGACCAGGCAGGGGGGTCAGTCTCTCCCAGGAGGCATGGCCTCCTCGCCCTCCACGGCAATCTGTGGCACCGAGGCGGGCAGCGCAGTGGCCTCCTCCTGCGGCTCATCAAAGCTAACCTCCTGCACGGCCTCCTGCTTCTTGAAGGAGTCCCGGCGCTCGGACAGGTGCAGTCGCCGCATGACCACGAGCTCGGCCTCCGGCCCGCGGCTGCGCCGCCCCTCCCCATCCAGCCGCTCACCTGTGCCCAGCTTGTCAGCCGACTGGCCCCGGCGCAGCCGCGGGGATCGGGCAGGCGCGGGCGGGTGCCCTGGTAGGGGCGAGGGCGAGCGCGGCGGGGGCGCGGAGATGGGCGGGCAGGCCAGCGGGGAGGGTGGGATGCTGCTGGTGGACTTGCGGCGGCCAGTCTTGGGGCGGGGCGGCCCCAGCTTGGCAGCCAGGCCGTGCAGGGAGCTGGGGCGGGTGTGGCCAGCAGCAGCTGGGGAGGCAGGGCTGCTGGAGCTTGGGGAGACGCTGGGTGGGGACGCGGTGGTGTCTGTGGGTGATAAGAGTGGGTCAGGGCTGCTGGCCTCAATGTCCCCAGCCTGGAGGTGGAGCTGTGAGACTCACAAAAACTGCTAAAGCCCGTGTCCTTCCCTGTGGCCCCCAGCATGCCTGGCTTGCTTTGTTTGTGAGACAGGGTCTTGCTCTGTTGCCCAGGCTCTGGTGCACTGGCTTAATCACAGCCTCACCCTCTTGGGTTCAAGCGATCCTTACAACTCAGCCTCCCGAGTGGCTAGGACCACAGGTGCACGCCACCATGGCTGGCTAATTTTTCTTTTTTTTTAAACAGTCTTGCTCTGTCCCCCAGGCTGAAGTGCAGTGGTGTGATCTCGGCTCACTGCAACCTTCACCTCCCAGGTTTAAGCAGTTCTCCCGCCTCAGCCCCCCAGGTAGCTGGGACTACAGGTGTGTGCCACCATGCCTGGCTACCTTTGTACTTTTAGTAGTTTCACCATGTTGGCCAGGCTGATGTCAAACTCCAGATCTCAAGGGATCCACCTGCTTTGGCCTCCCAAAGTGCTGGGATTACAGGTGTGAGCCATCATGGCTGGGTCATACCAGGCTTCTCTGCCTCCCCCTCAGGGTTGTTTCCTTGGCCTAGATCTGGTGAACTCCTACTCATCCATCAAATCCCCAGCTCCTCTGCCCCCTCTTCGAGAAAGCCATCTCTCTGTCTCCACTCTTTTTAAAATTTCTTTTGTTTTCCTGAGACAGGATCTCACTCTGTCACCCAGGCTGGAGTGCAGTGGTGCAATCATGGCTCACTGCATGCAGCCTTGACCTCCCGGGCTCAAAGTGATCCTCCCATCTCAGCCTCCTGAGTAGCTGGGACCACAGGTGTGCAGCACCACCACACCCACCTAATTTTTTAATATTTTGTACAGATAGGGTCTCTCTTTGTTGCCCAGGCTGGTCTCAAACTCCTGGGCTCAAGTGATCCTCCCGCCTTGGCCTCCCAAAGTGTTGGGATTACAGGCCTGAACCTCTGTGCCCGGCCTCCTCTCATTTCCCCACCCTTCCTGTCTAGCCCCATTTGTTCATGATGTTTCCTCTGCGGGCACCTCCTTCCCTGGCACCTGCACGAGTGCTCCCAGATTCCCTTCTAGACCAGGAGCCCGGAAGCTGTTCCTTCCCGTCATACTTTCCCTAATGCGCATGATTCCATCCCCCAGACTGCTCACTCCTGCCCGGGCCCACCAGCCCTTGCCCCCAGGGTAGCCGGCGGAGGTGGGTGCACCTACCTGCTGGGACATCAGGGGCTGGACTGCGGCAGGGAGTGGTGGGGCTCGGGGAGAGGCTGTGGGTGGGCGAGCCGGGGAGGCTCTCGCTCGATGACAGCGAGTGGTGGAGTCCAGAGGAAAAGCTGCGGCTGGTGTGCAGCACGGACGTCTGCTTGGAGATCTTCTTGAAGAGCGACTTCCGCCTGGGGTATGAGAACCGGGAGCCTCAGAACTCCTGCTCCTGGCCGGCGCGGTGGCTCACGCCTACAACCCCAGCACTTTCAGAGGCAAGGCAGGCGGATCATTTAAGGTCAGGAGTTCGAGACCAGTCTGGCCAACATGGCGAAACACCATCTACTGAAAATACAAAAATTAGCCGGGCATGGTGGTGGGCACCTGTCGTCCCAGCTACTCGGGGGCCTGAGGCAGGAGAGTCGCTTCAACCCAGGAGGTAGAGGTTGCAGTGAGCTGAGATTGAGCCATTGCACTCCAGCCTGGGCAACAGAGCAAGACTCCATTTCAAAAAAAAAAAAAAAAAAAAAAAAAAAAGGAAAAAAAAGAATCCCTGTCCCCACCACATGTTCCCATGGTCCGCCCCCTCTGTACCGCTCCCTGGTGGCCACCGCCGCGCACCGGTCCTGGGTCTCCCGCCGCCGGCTCCGCTTGCTCCTGCGCGCCATGCGGCCCTTGGCCACGTTCTTCCGGGCGGGGCCCACCTTGATGGACGTGTTCTCTAGGGCAGTGGTCCGCAGGGATATCTTGTTGCCACTCTGGGACAAGATGGGAGGATGGTGAGGGGTTGCCTCTGTGCCCTCGCAGGGCCCAGCACTTGCCCGGCAGCTGCTATGTACCCTTCACTCCAGGCACCAGCTGGGACCCCCCCACCCTGATATCATTCATCCACCCAACCAGTGACTTACCCAACAAATCCAGCCAAACAGTGCAGGGAACACCAGCCCTCCTGCCGGGACCCCCCACCCTGAGGTCAGCGCCCATCGAGGCCTGCCCTCTTCACTCTCCACCCTCCCCAGGGTCTGTCATCCACCTACCTGGTATCTCCCCATCCCCTAGTCACCCACCTAATGGCCCAGGAGTCATCAGGCCAAAGACACATGTCCACAAGTCTGTCTGTTCAGTGAGCCACCCACACAGCTGCCCACATGGGAGCCTTCACTCTTTTCTTTTTTTGAGGTGTTGTCTCACTCTGTCACCCAGGCTGGAGTGCAGTGGCGCGGTCTCGGCTCACTGCGACCTCTGCCTCCTGGGTTCAAGCGATTTTCCTGCCTCAGCCTCCAGAGTAGCTGGGTTGACAGGCGTGTGCCCACCTCACCCAGCTAAGTTTTGTGTTTTTAGTAGAGATGGGGTTTCGCCATGTTGGCCAGGCTGGTCTCGAACTCCTGACCTTATGATCCACCCACCTCAGCCTCCCAAAGTGCCGGGATTACAGGTGTGAGCCACCACAGCCGGCCCTTCACTCTATTTTAGAACCAGGGTCTCTGTGTCCCCCAGGCTAGAGTGCAGTGCGGCATCATAGCTTACTATGGCCTCCACCTCCTGGGCCCAAACAGTCCTCCCACCTCAGCCTCCCAAGTAGCTGGGACTACAGGCACGTGCCACCAAGCCCAGCTAACTTTATTTTGAAAGTTTTTGTAGAGATGGGGTCTCACTATGTTGCCCAGGCTGGTCTCAAAGTCCTGAGCTCAAGCGATCCTCTCGCCTTGGCCTCCCAAAGTGCTGGGAAGAGAGGTGCGAGCCATGGCGCCAGGCCCCTCCTCCTTTCCTGAGGCCATCTCCTACCTCCAGGTGTCAGGCAAGAGGGAGGAATAGATGTGAGGGTACCCAGGGAGAAGGGAAGGCTTCCTGGAGGAGGAGCTCTGAGGGGCGATACTGGGGCTAGAGAAGGATGTGTATTCTGGGCAGGAGGAGAGTGTGTGCAAGGCCTGGAGTTGACGGTGGATGTGGGGTTGTGTGTCTCGACAGGGAGAAGCATGGGGAACCCAGAGCTGTGGCCAGGGGATGCTGGGACCCCTGACGGTGGGCAGTGGCGGGGGGACATACCTTCAGCAGCAGCTCCACGACGTCCATGTGCACCAGCCCCAGCACCGACTCCCCATTGATGTGGGTGATGAGGTCCCCGGCTCGCAGGCCCGCCTCCTGGGCGGGGCTTCCATCCTCCACACTCTGGGGTCAGACAGGAACAGTGGGGTCAGTGGCTTGGGCCCCACATCTGGAGACCCCAGCTCAGGCTGGGTCTGCTGTGGGACCCCAGCAAACTGCTGCCTCTTGTGCTGCCTCAGTTTCCCTGATCCTGGGGAACTCCTACTCACCCATCAAAGCCCCAGCTACTCTGCCCCCTCCTCTAGAAAGGCTTCTCTGTCTGTTTAGGGAGCAACCAATAGGAAGGGCATGCCCTGAAGTGGGACTGATGCCCTGAAGTGGGACTGATGCCCCTGGGCTGGGGGAGGGAGGATAACATGCCCAGTGCGCCCCCTACAGAGCTGGGAGATTAATGTCACTTGGGATCTGTTAGCCTCCATCCAGCCTTGTCTCTCTCATCTGACCTCCTCCCCATCAACTGACAGGGACCGGATGAACACCATCACATGACAGGGACTGGTGGCACCAGCTCTGTCCCCTAATCCTGCCGTACTCTAAAATGCAGGTCTGAGAAGGGATTTGACCGGGCAGGGTCAGACTAGAACCCGGGTCCCTGCCTTCCCACTCCACGCTCACCCAGACCACGTGGTGCACAGTGTAGACGTCACTGTCGCCCATGTAGACGCGGATGGCCCGCAGGCTGAAGCCGTACTTCTTGCCGGAGCTGTGGATGACGATGGGGGGCCGGAGGCTGCCACACACGGGGGACGGGTCTCGGCTCGGCGACGAGTCACGGGACGACGGGTTTGAGGACAGAGAGCGTGGGGACAGGGGGCTCATGAGGGGGCCACCACTGCCGTCATCTGCAGGGGGCCAGGGAGGGGTCACTCACTCCCTCGAAGGTCCCCCGTGGCCCCTCTTTCCCACCGTGACCACCACCCTGGTCGCCCCTCCAGGCCTTTGCATGTGTGGTGCCCTCCACCGGGAACACTGTCCCAGCTCTCCCTGGGTCTCACTCCGCCTCCCCTCTCCCAGGCTCAGTCCCAGCCTCCCCACCTCAGGAGAGACCTTCACCTTTTTGGGTACAATGGGTGTGGACAGACAGAGGTGAGAACGGGCCTTTAGTGTTACCTGCCGTGATGATGAGGGACAGGGCAGAGACAGAGGCCGACTTGGGCACACGGCCCCCGCCACTGCCGCCGCCGGAGGAGGCTCTGGACTTCTCAGGGGCTGGGTCTCTCGGGCCCCCAAGGCGGCGGCCCCGGCCGGCATCCAGAGGCCTTGGCGTGGAGTGTCGGGCGCCGATGCTGTTGCTCCGTAGGCGGGCATGGCTGAGGGCAGCTGTGTCGGCTAGGAGGTCAGCAGGGTCAGCCGGGTGCCCCTCAAACTCACCACGTGGCCCCTCTAAGGGGAAGGGGAAGGCCTTCCTCCCTGGTCGCTGTTTATACAGTCCAACCTCCTGGCCTATGCTCATGTGGTTCCCTCTTCCTGCACTCCCTTCCCAAATTACTTTCTATGCAAAAGTCTTCAAGTCTCCTCCTCCAGGAAGCCTTCTTCCACACACATTTAGACCCTTAGTTCCCTCATCTTGGGAGCTAGGGGTCCCATCCTGACTGTATGAAGCTAAGGGCAGCGGGTAGGGGGATTACCCTGGACCGAGGTTCCTGGGGGGTGGGAGGTCTCTCTGGGAACCTGGCTTCCCTTTTCTTAACCCCTTATTGGCTCTGAAGGACTCCTACTCATCCCTGAAAACCCATCTCAAATAGCCCCTCCTCTGGGAAACTTCCATGACATCATCCCTCCCTCTTACTCAGGGCCCCACTTACCAGAAAGGCTTGAGGGTTTGGGCATCACTGGGGTGGCTGCTGGGGGTGGGTCAGGCTCCCCTAGAATGAAGACGGGCCTCTTGGGGCCTGCAGGGCCTGGGCCTGCCCCTTCATCTTCTGATGAGAAGGCAAACTTGGGCATCGTGTCCAGGCTGATGGTATTCAGGAGAGAGGGGCTGGGACCCCGCTCGGGCTGGGACGAAGATGACTGACAGGAGGATCCAGAGGATGTACAGGACCTCAGCCTGCGGGGAGGAAGAAGCTGCGGGACGCTGTCGGGCGCCGCACCTAGGATACTCGGTCACCTTTCCTGCGGGACGGTCACCTTTCCTGCGGGACGCTGTCGGGCGCCGCACCTAGGATACTCGGTCACCTTTCCTGCGGGATGCTGCCAGGCGCCGCACCTAGGATACTCGGTCACCTTTCCTGAGGGACGCTGCCAGGCGCCACACCTAGGATACTCGGTCACCTTTCCTGTGGGATGCTGCCAGGCCCGCACCTAGGATACTCGGTCACCTTTCCTGCGGGACGCTGCCAGGCCCGCACCTAGGATACTCGGTCACCTTTCCTGCGGGACGCTGTCGGGCGCCGCACCTAGGATACTCGGTCACCTTTCCTGTGGGACGCTGCCAGGCCCGCACCTAGGATACTCGGTCACCTTTCCTGTGGGACGCTGTTGGGCGCCACACCTAGGATACTCGGTCACCTTTCCTGCGGGACGCTGCCAGGCCCGCACCTAGGATACTCGGTCACCTTTCATGGCCACGTCTTAACTCCCAGTCTGCAGTCAGGGGCAATTTACCTAGACGGGATGAGTAGTTCCCTGTGTCTGCACTGTCCTCTGTCCACCTGGGGACCTCTTATTCGCTATTTTTTTTTTTTTTTTTAAAGACAGGATTGGCCGGATGCGGTGGCTCCTGCCTGTAATCCCAGCACTTTGGGAGGCTGAGGCGAGCGGATCACAAGGTCAGGAGTTCAAGACCAGCTTTGCCAATGTGTTGAAACACTGTCTCTACTAAAAATACAAAAATTAGCTGGGTGTGGTGTCGGGTGCCTGTAGTCCCAACTACTTGGGAGGCTCTGTTGAGCCCAGGAGTTTCAGGCTGCAGTGAGCTATGATCGTGGCACTGCACTCCAGACTTGGAAAAAGAGCAAGAACCAATCTCTTAGACAATTTTTTAAAAAGGCCAGCTTCTGGCTGGGTGCAGTGGCTCACGTCTGTAATCCCAGCACTTTGGGAGGCTGAGGCGGGGGGATCACAAGGTCAAGAGATCGAGACCATCCTGGCCAACATGGGGAAACCCCATCTCTATTAAAAATACAAAAATTAGCCAGGCGTGGTGGTGCGCACCTGTAGTCCCAGCTACTTGGGAGGCTGAGGCTGGAGAATTGCTTGAATCTGGGAGGTGGAGGTTGCAGTGAGCCAAGATTGTGCCACTGCACTCCACCGTGGTGCCTGGCGATGGAGCAAGACTGTCTCAAAAAAAAAATAAATAAAAAAAATAAAGGCCAGCTTCCAACACCCATCCTCTAGCAGACATTGACTGTTTCTCTTGTGTCTCAGTTTGAAAATGAACAGGAGTTAGTCAGCAAAGGACATTCTGGACAAAAGGAAAGGTACGCCTAGCAGCATGATGGTGCAGAGCTGTTTTATGTTTGCGGTGAGGAACACAGAGCCAAAGGCAGCAAGGTTGTCAGAGACCTGATTAGGCTAGTCAGTATGTTTGACCCTTTTCTACCTGGCCACTAGGAAGCTCCCTTTGCATCAGATTTTGTGTCTACCTCCCAGCAGGCTTGGAAGCTGGATCTGCCTATACTTCCCCAGGCCACCTACCGGATGTCAGCACTCAGCCGGCGGCCATAGTCCACCTCGCTTCGCTCCCACCCTTCCTCCCGGTCTTCACTGAAGCTCCTTTCAGCAAAGGTAGGAGTGGGCTGGACGGCCAGGAACTCAGAGCTGCTGTAGACCTGGGAGGCAAGACAAAAGAATGGTAAGCAGAATGCGGTGGCTCATGTCTCTAATCCCAGCACTTTGGGAGGCTGAGGTGGACAGGTCACTTGAGGTCAGGAGTTCGAGACCAGCCTGGCCAAGATGGTGAAACCCTGTCTCTACTAAAAATACAAAAATTAGCTGGGCATGGTGGCAAGTGCCTGTAGTCCCAGCTACTTGGGAGGCTGAGGCAGGAGAATGGCTTGAATCCAGGAGGTGGAGGTTGCAGTGAGCCGAGATTGTACTCCAGCCTGGGCAACAGAGCGAGACTCTGTCTCAAAAAAAAAAAAAAAAAAACAGAAAGCTGGCTTAGTCGAGGGCTTCCTATGTGTCAGGTGCTTCTGTTTGAGTCACTTCCCTAAATCCTCACTCCACACCTCCCTAAAAGAGCACAGACGTTAGCCCACTGTGCCGACGGAAAAACTGAGGCTCAGAGGGGCCCTGCTACCAAACTGCATTTTTGCTGCTGACTAGAAAGTCCTGGCTGCGGCCCAGGCCTAAAGCAGAGTGAAGCGTTTTTTGATGAAATCATAAACAAAGGAGGGAATGTCAGTTAAGCTCATAAGGTTATAAAATAATATCCAGGGCCGGGTGCAGTGGCTCAAGCCTGTAATCCCAGCATTTTGGGAGGCCCCTGTGGGTGGATCACTTTAGGTCAGGAGTTTGAGACCAGCCTGGGCCACATGGTGAAACCCCATCTCTACTAAAAATACCAAAATTAGCCAGGCATGGCGCGTGCCTGTAATCCCAGCTACTTGGGAGGCTGAGGCAGGAGAATCGCTTGAATCCAGGAGGCGGAGGTAGCAATGAGCTGAGATCGCACCATTGTACTCCAGGCTGGGCAATAAGAGTGAGACTGTCTCAAAAAAAAAAAGGAAGGAAGGAAGGATAAAAAAAGAGTAAGAAAGAAGAAAAGAAACAAAAAATTCGCTGGGCATAGTGGCAGGTGCCTGTAATCGCAGCTACTCAGGAGGCTGAGGCAGGAGAATCGCTTAAACCCAGGAGGCGGCGGTTGCGGTGAGCTGAGCCCTTGCTAGACTGGTGGGACGACACGGTGAACGTGCTGAATGCCACCGATTTGTACACTTTATTTTACTTTATTATTATTATTATTATTTGAAACAGAATCTCACTCTGTCACCCAGGCTGGAGTGCAGTGGTGCGATCTCGGCTCACTGCAGCCTCCGCCTCCTGGGTTCAAGTGATTACTGATGCTTGTAATCCCAGCGCTTTGGGAAGCCAAGGTGGGCGGATCACCTGAGGTCAGGAGTTCGAGACCAGCCTGGCCAACACGGTGAAACCTCATATCTATTAAAAACGTAAAAAATTAGCCTGGCGTGGTGGTGCATGCCTGTACTCCCAGCTACGCGGGAGGCTGAGGCAGGAGAATCACTTGAATCCGGGAGGTGGAGGCTGCAGTGAGCCAAGACCGTGCCACTGCACTCCAGCCTGGTGACAGAGCAAAACTCTGTCTCAAAAAATAATAATAATAATTCCTAGCACTTTGGGAGGCCGAGGGAGGAGGATTGCTTGAGCCCAGGAATTTGAGGCTGGCCTGGACAACATAGCAAGACCCCATCTCTACAGAACAAAACAAGGCAAAAGCAAACACCGACACGGAAGCAAACAGACAAGCCAGGTTTCCTGAGCGGCGGCTCCACCCGGGGCCTGGCCCACCTTGCTGAACCGGTGGGAGCAGGAGGAGAACTGGGGGATCTCTGTGGACGATTCTTCATCGTTGGTCTCGTCGTCCTCGGAGCCGAGGTGGCGGTAGCGTTCCGAGCGTGCTGTGGGAGAGGGGCAGGTGCAGCATGCCCGATACCGAGAGCTGATCTCAAGGGCAGTGTGGCGATGCGGGGAGGGTGGTGCAGGGTGGGGTCGCTGCCAGGGCAAACACTCTGAGGTAGGACCGTGCCTGGTGTGTTTGAGGACCTTGGGAGGCTTTGGTGGCAGAGCAAAATCTGGGAATCAATCCCAACTGTGACCCTAAAACGTTGAAGGGCCGGGCGTGGTGGCTCATGCCTGTAAATCCCAGCACTTTGGAAGGCCAAGGTGGGTGGATCACTTGAGGTCAGGAATTCGAGACCAGCCTGGCCAACATGGTGAAACCACATCTCTACAAAAATATAAATATTAGCTGGGCAGTAGTGGTATGCATCTGTAATCCTAGCTACTTGAGAGGCTGAGGCAGGAGAATTGCTTGAGCCTGGGTAGGTGGAGGTTGCGGTGAGTCGAGATTGTGCACTGCACTCCAGCCTGGGCAACAGAGTGAGACTCCATCTCAAAACATAAATCAAAGCTGGGCAAGGTGGCTCACGCCTGTAATCCCAGCACTTTGGCAGGCCAAGCCGGGTGGGCCACAAAGTCAGGAGATGGAGACCATCCTGGCTAACACAGTGAAACGCCGTCTCTACTAAAAATACAAAAAAAAAAAAATTTAGCCGGGCATGGTGGCAGGTGCCTGTAATCCTAGCTACTAGGGAGGTTGAGGCAGGAGAATTGCTTGAACTAGGGAGGCGGAGGTTGCAGTGAGCTGAGATCCCGCCACTGTACTCCAGCCTGAGCGACAGAGCGAGACTCCGTCTCAAAAAAAAAAAAAAAAAATCAAGTGATTAAAAAGTTGTGGGCAAGGTTCACGTAAGTAGAAATTATGAGAAAAAATTAAAAAGAAAAAAAAAAGTTGTGAGACCAGAGGCGGGAATTCCTATTTCTGAGCTTCAGTGATTCCTTGAAACGGTCACACAGAATAAGGTACAATTGTGCATCTCAAAATAAGGGACGCTCCTCATTGTATAGAAGAAGAAACAGAAGCTCAGAGAAGACCTCTGACAGGAAGAAGTTCTGAAGGAGGTGCTGGACACTAAAGAGCGGAACCCCCAAGTTGGGAGAGAAAGAGTCATCCTCAGAGCTCACCTCCCGCGCGCCTGTGGGGACCCCTCCGTTAAAGCTGGGTGAGGCGCCCTACCCTCCTGGGTGACAGATGGGGCCCCATGCACGGTCAGGGCCACACACCCAGGAGGCCCACCTTGCTGGGGAACCCCAGACAAGGGCCTGCTACACTTGGTGCCTTGGTTTCCCCTTTTGAAGCCTGAGATTTGCTGTGGCCTTCTGAACCTAGATGCACAGGAAATCTAGCCAGGGGTGGCTGATACACGTGCCCTAGATTCTTGGAAGGCTCCAGAAGTCGGAACCTCCAGGCCTAGGGTGAGGTGCCAGGCTTGGGTGGAACCCCTGGCATACAGCCGTCCACCCCCAGGGACTGAGGGACAGCAGAGCCCACCCCTGCGGGCCCCTCCTTACTATCAAAGTAGCTGGTATCATCCTCGGCTTCGAGCTGGGGCACGAACTCGGCTTTGTGTCGAAGAAGCCCTGCCCAGTCCAGGCCCAGGAAAAATGGGTGCTGCTTCACCTCGTGGGTGCCACCTGCAGATAGGCCCAGCTGAGCCCTGTGGGACCTCACCTCACCCACCATAGGATGCCCTCCACCCCCATCCCCACCCCCTACTGCTCATGCTGGACACAGGGTGGGGACAACGAAGAACCAGAAAAATGGGCCGGGCATGGTGGCTCACGCCTGTAATCCCAGCACTTCAGGAGGCCGAGGCGGATGGATCACTTGAGGTCAGGGGTTCGAGATCAGCCTGGCCAACATGGCAAAACCCGTCTCTACTACTAAAAATATAAAATATAAAATACAAAAATTAGCCGGGTTTAGTGGTGCATGCCTGTAATCCCAGCTACTAGGGACGCTGAGGCAGGAGAATCGCTTGAATCTGCGAGGCAGAGATTGCAGTAAGCCAAGATTGCACCACTGCACTCCAGTCTGGGCAACAGAACAAGATTTTGTCTGAAAAACAAAACATCAACAACAAAACCGGAAAATCGGAACAAAATCCACTGAAATTTAGGAGCCTGGACAGGGACCAAGCTGGGATTCAAACCACTGCCGGCACTTTGGGAGGCTGAGGTGGGCAGATCACTTGAGGTCAGGAGTTCAAGACCAGCCTGGGCAACATGGCAAAATCCCGTCTCTGGATGACAGACAGGGCTCCGCGCCTGATCAGGGCCGGATACCCAGGAGGCCCAACCAAAAATACAAAAATTAGCCAGGCATGATGGCACATGCCTGTGGTTCCTACTCGGGAGGCTGAGGTGGGAGGATCGTTTGAGCCTGGGAAGCGGAGGTTGCAGTGGGCCAAGATTGTGCCACTGCACTCCAGCCTGGGTGATAGTGTGAGATCTAATCTCAGAAAAAAAAATAAAAAATAAAAAAGCACCCAGGCTGCCCAGGTTCCAAAGATTCTGGCCTTCTCTCTGCTGCTGTCTGGGATGGTACCGCCTAGAGAAAGCCCAGATTATAAGGTCCTCCTTCCTGGCTTCTCTCTCTTGTAAACAGCTCCAAGGAGCAGGTGACCATCCCTGACCTTGGACCCAAACATCTCCCAGAGCGAAGCCTCAGTCATGAACAGGCTGTAGTGGCCACGTGATGGGTGGCTGCATGAGTCTCAAAAGGTCCCTCAATGATTCACCAGGTGGCTGGGAAAACTGGGACAGTGGGATCTTCCAGGCTGGGCCTTTGACACAACTCCTGGAGACTTCACAGCCTCACGTACTTATTCAGGCTCAGTGCTCTGTGTGGGCATCAGACCCAGCTACTTTCTATTCTTTCAAGGTCTTGTGATGGTTCCTGGAGAACTCCTATGCATCCTTCAAAACCCCAGCTGCAAGCTCCCTCCTCCATGAAGCTTCCCAAGTAGAACTCTTGTATACCCCAGGTGCTATCCCTCCCTCTGTTTCCTGGGTCCCGGCGCCTGAGGGAGCCACCCACCTGGGTCCCCTTTCACACTACATACCAGTGCCCAGACGGTCCAGTGGGCTCTGCCGGAGCAACCTGGTGATGAGGTCCTGGGCGTCAGCTGGAAGGGCCTCGTCCCCATCTGGCCACATGATCTCATCTAAAATGAGGGAGGAAGGAGGAGGCAGGGGTACCCCTTTCTAGTTCCATCCACTACTTCCCCTCACTTCACTGTATCCCAAGCCAGTGACCTCCTCTGCCCCTTCAACATGCCAGGCTCGGGACCCGCTCCCAGCCTTCGCCATGGCTGTGCCCTGTGCTCACAGCATCGTTTCCTTTTCTGTCTCTACGGCTCCCTCTCATTTTGAGGTTCTTGCAGGTCTCTGCCCACATGTCACTTCTCTTTTTTATTTTTTGAGACAGAGTCTTGCTCTGCCGCCCAGGCCGGAGTGCAGTGATGCTGTCTCGCCTGACCGCAACCTCCGCCTCCCGGGTTCAAGCAATGCTCCTGCCTCAGCCTCCCAAGTAGCAGGGATTACAGGTGCTCGCCACCATGCCTGGCTAATTTTTGTATTTTTATGTATTCATTTTTTGAGGCAGAGTCTTGCTCTGCCGCCCAGGCTGGAGTGCAGTGATGCTATCTTGGTTGGCTGCAACTTCTGCCTCCCGGGTTCAAGAGATCCTTCTGCCTCAGCCTCCCAAGTAGTTGGGATTACAGGCGTGTGCCACCATGCCTGGCTAATTTTTTTTGAAATTTTTAGTAAAGACGGGATTCATTATGTTGGCCAGGATGGTCTCAATCTCTTGACCTAGTGATCTGCCCGCCTCGGCCTCCCAAAGTGCTGGGATTACAGGCGTGAACCACCACCCCAGGCTAATTTTTGTATTTTTAGTAGAGATCGGGTTTCGCCATGTTGTCCAGGCTGGTCTCGATCTGCTGGCGTTATATGATCTTCCTGCCTTGGCCTCCTAAAGTGCTGGAATTACAGGTGTGAGCCACCACGCCCAGCCTCACATGTCACTTCAGTGAAGCCTCTGTGACCCTATAATTAATCCAGCCACCCACCCCCCTCAGCACCCTACCGCCTCCCTACTGGACATCCAACTCCCTCCCCTCGTCCTGCTTCTCTCCCTGGACGCTGCCCAGAGCTCGGTGGGGCTACAGCTCAACCCAGGCCCGTGGAGGGAACGCACCGCTGACCACCTGACCGAAGAGTTCCTCGGGGGTGTCTCCGAAGAAAGGCACGCAGCCCACCAGAAACTCATAGAGAACGACGCCCATGGCCCACCAGTCCACTGGCTTCCCGTAGCCCTGGCGGAAAATCACCTCGGGAGCGATGTACTCCGGTGTCCCGCACACCTGGACCCAGGCAGAACGGGGAAACTGAGGCCCGCCCCCAGCCCAAGAGAGGCCCCAGGAGAGAGGAGGTGGCGTCCCACGGCCACCCGCCCACCTGGCCGCCCACCTGCTTGTCGATGAACTCCCGGGCGTCCTTCTCGATGTGGCCCTCGTAGAGGTTGGTGGCCATGCTCATCAGGCCAATCTTGGACAGGCCGAAGTCCGTGAGCTTGATGTGGCCGAGTGAGGTGATGAGCAGGCTGTGGGCAGGCGAGGGGTGCTCAGGGCTGGGGGGCCAGGGGGCCTGGCCGCTCCTTCTGCCCCAGACCTTGGCTCCACCTGACACAGACAGAGCTCTGCCTCCAACTCCTGGGCCCAAGTGATCCTCCTGCCTCAGCTTCCCGAGTAGCTGGGACTACGGGGCACACTACCAAACCCAGCTAAGGTTTTTTTTTTTGAGACAGAGTCTTGCTCTGTCACCAGGCTGGAGTGCAGTGGTGCAATCTTAGCTCATTGCAACCTCCGCCTCCCGGGTTCAAGCGATTCTCCTGCCTCAGCCTCCCGAGCAGCTGGGACTACAGGCGCACATCACCACGCCCGGCTAATTTTTTATGTTTTTAGTAGAGATGGGGTTTCACCATATTGGCCAGGCTGGTCTTGAACTCCTGACCTCATGATCCACCCATCTCGGCCTCCCAAAGTGCTGGGATTACAGGCGTGAGCCACTGCGCTGGGCATTTTTTTTTTTTCTTTGGTAGATATGAGGTCTTGCTATGTTGCTATGAGGCTGGTCCTGAATTCCTGGCCTCAAGCAATCCTCCCACCTTCAAAAGTGCTTGCATGACAAATGTGAGCCAGCATGCCTGGTCTCGTGTATGTGTGTGTGTCTGTTCCTGGCTCACTACAACCTCCACCTCCCAGGTTCAAGCAATTCTCCTGCTTCAGCCTCCTGAGTAGCTGGGATTACAGGTGCCCGCCACCATGCTTAGCTAATTTTTTTTTTTTGAGTTGAAATTTTACTCTTGTTGCCCAGACTGGAGTGCTGGAGTGCAATGGCACAATCTCAGTGCAACCTCTGCCTCCTGAGTTCAAGTGATTCTCCTGCCTTAGCCTCCAGAGTAGCTGGGATTATAGGTACCCGCCATCATACCTGGCTAGTTTTTAAATTTTTGTAGAGACAGGGTTTCACCATGTTGGCCAGGCTGGTCTTGAACTTCTGACCACAGGTGATCCGCCCGCCTCAGCCTCCGCAAGTGTTGGGATTGCAGGCGTGAGTCACTGTGCCTGGCTGCCTGGCTAGCTTTCAAATTTTGTTTGTACAGATGGGGCGTCACTACATGGCCCACGCTTGTCTCAAACACCTGAACTCAAACAGTGCTGCAACCTCAGCCTCCCAAAGTGATGGGATTACAGGCATGAGACACCACGCCCAGTCTGAATGGACCCATTTTTAAAACTCCATATGTACCCTATACACTGCTATTTAGGTTTTCCTGTGAAATTAAGTATATAAATGTTTCGCTGCATCATAGAATCTTACACACCAGCTGTATAAAGTCCCATTTCTGTGCAGCTTCTGGGTGCATCTGCCACTTAAAAATACATTCCAGAGGGGCCGGGCGCGGTGGCTCACGCCTGTAATCCCAGCACTTTGGGAGGCTGAGGCGGGCGGATCACAAGGTTAAGAGATCGAGACCATCCTGGCCAACACGGTAAAACCCCGTCTCTACTAAAAATACAAAAAAATTAGCCAGGCATGGTGGCACAGGCCTGTGGTCCCAGCTACTCAGGAGGCTGAGGCAGAAGAATCGCTTGAACCCAGGAGGCAGAGACTGCAGTGAGCTGAGATCACATCACTGCACTCCAGCCTGGTGACAGAGCAAGACTCTGTCTCAAAAAAAAAAAAAATCCAGAGGGGCCAGATGCGGTGGCTCATGCCTGTAATCCCAGCACTTTGGGAGGCTGAGGTGGGCGGATCACGAAGTCAGGATTGAGAACATCCTGCCCAACCTGGTGAAACCCCGTCTCTACTAAAAATACAAAAATTAGCTGGGCATGGTGGCGCGTGCCTGTAATCCCAGCTACTCGGGAGGCTGAGGCAGGAGAACTGCTTGAACCCAGGAGGCAGAGACTGCAGTGAGCTGAGATCACACCACTGCACTCCAGCCTGGGCGATGGTGTAAGACTCTGTCTTCAAAAAAAAAAAAAAATTCCAGAGAATTCACTGTGTATAACCATAATTTAATGAAGTATGTATTTAGTACCTCCTGTTTGCCAAAGCTCTGTAAAGAAACAATTCTGGGTCGGCGCAGTGGCTCACGCCTGTGATCCCAGCACTTTGGGAGGCCGAGGTGGGTGGATCACCTGAGGTCAGGAGTTTGAGACCAGCCTCACCAACATGAAATCCTGGCACTACTGAAAATACAAAACTAGCTGGGCTTGGTGGTGCACGCCTATACTCCCAGCTACTCAGGGGGCTGAGGCAGGAGAATCCCCTGAACCCGGCAGGCAGAGGTTGCAGTGAGCTGAGATCGTGCCACTGCACTCCAGCCTGGGTGACAGAGAGACACTCCATTTCAAAAAAAAAAAAAAAAAAAAACCAACAAAAAAGAAAATAACAAAATTAGCTGGGTGTGGTGGTGCATGCATATAATCCCAGCTGCTTGGGAGGGTGAAGCAGGAGAATCCCTTGAACCTGGGAGGTGGAGGTCGCAGTGAGCCAAGATCGCGCCACTGTACTCCAGCCTGGGCGACAGAGACTGACCCTGTCTCAAAAAAAAAATATAGTTAAACTGTTCTGGACTAGGTATACAGTCATTGCCTAGTAATTGTTGCTCTGCATACCTTGTACACACCTGGTGCCTAACAAGTACATGTCAGCCACAAACATGTGACATAGAAACCCTACATTACTGCGTAAGGAGTTATTCATCCTTCTGAGTTCTTCAGAGCATCGAGCACAGGCCCAGGTATACAGCAGGTGCCAAATACATGTCGGCCACAAACATGTGACGTAGAAACCCTACATTACTGCGTAAGGAGTTATTCATACTCTGAGTTCTTCAGAGCATCGAGCACAGGCCCAGGTATACAGCAGGTGCCAAATACATGTCTGTTTTCTAAGCCACTTGTTAAGTGCAAAATGCCCTGAAAACATGCAAGGCTCTTTTTTTTTTTTGAGATGGAGTCTCACTCTGTCGCCCAGGCGGGAGTGCAGTGGCACGATCTTGGGTCACTGCAACTTCTGCTTCCCAGGTTCAAGCGATTCTCCTGCCTCAGCCTCCTGAGTAGCTGGGACTACAGGCATGCACCGCCATGCCCGGCTAATTTTTGTATTTTTAGTAGAGATAGGGTTTCACCAGGTTGGCCAGGCTGGTCTTGAACACCTGACTTCAGGTGATCTGCCTGCCTCGGCCTCCTAAAGTGCTGGGATTACAGGCGTGAACCACCACGCCTGGCCTGCGTGCAAGGCTCTTCACACTCATGTTCACATCTCCATACATGTATGTGAGAAATGTTAGTTCTTGCCTCATATCTCGAGGAGGTTTGATAAATGGGCATCCGTTTTCCCTGTACACAGCAGGCACTCAATAAATGCAGGGGAGAAAATCATACAGGGGTTTCAAAGCAGGTGGCCCTGTGTCTCCCAGTTGCCCATAGAGGATCTGGCATATTGTAGGTGCTTACTACATACCAGAATCAAATAAACATCCTAAGGCTCTCGGTAAACATGTTCTCTTCATTGCTTTCTTGCACCAATATATAGCAGGTGCTCAAGACATGCATGGTCACTGTCTTTGCATCTAAGGTCTTGCAAATTGCATAATCCTGTTCTGTGTATATAGCTGGTGCCTTATAAGTGCATGTTCTCTCCCCTTGTGCAGCAGCAGCTCTGGGTGCGCAGCCCCTTCTGTATACAGTGTGTGCATCCTAAGTGCACATCGTCTCCCCTCTCCCCTTGATTGGCAGCACCTCCATAAGTGCACCGGCCTTCCGCTGCACACAGCAGATGTCGATTAAGTGTCTGCTCTCCTCTCCTCTGTACACACAAGATGTTCACCTTGTGCTCATTCCCTGCCTTCCCGTCAGGAGGTGCCAACAGAGCATCAGACAGGTGGGGCTCCCCACCTGAGGCCCCGCCCCCGATCTGCTCTGCCCCCGCCCCCAGCCGCTCTGGCCCCGCCCTCCCTGAGGACTTCGCGTGCTAGCTCAGCTCACTTGTCTGGTTTGAGGTCACGGTGCACGATGCCGTAGTTGTGCAGGTACTCGAGCGCCAACACGGTCTCGGCGAAGTACATGCGGGCCATGTCCACGGGCAGCGGGCCCATGTTCTTCAAGAGCGTGGCGCAGTCACCGCCTGGGAGAGGGGTGGATGTGCTCATGAGGCCCGGCGCCCCACCCCTTAGGTTATGCCCAAAGCCTATGCATCATCCTCGCTTCACCTCCTGCAAAGGGTCCCCAGTTTGTTCTGTCTCAGCAGGGAGGGTCGCGGAAAAGGGAAGGGGCAGACCCTGCCTTCATTTAGTTTAAATTTTAAAATTTTTATTTTTTGAGATGGAGTCTCGCTCTGTCGCCAGGCTGGAGTGCAGTGGCGCAATCTTGGCTCGTTGCAACCTCTGCCTCCTGGATTCAAGCGATTCTCCAGCCTCAGCCTCCCAAGTAGCTGGGACCACAGGTGTGCACCACCACACCCAACTAATTTTTATATTTTTAGTAGACACAGGGTTTCACCATGTTGGCCAGGATGGTCTTGAACTCTCGACCTTGTGATCTACTCGTCTCAGCCTCTCAAAGTGCTGGGATTACAGGTGTGAGACACTGCACCTGGCCTATTTTTAAATTTTTATTTATTTATTTATTTTGAGACAGAGTCTTGCTCTGTCACAGGCTGGAGTACAGTGACTCAATCTCGGCTCTCTGCCCCCTCCGCCTCCCAGGTTCAAGCAATTCTTCTGTCTCAGCCTCCTGAGTAGCTGGAATTACAGGCACGTGCTGCCATGCCCAGCTAATTTTTGTATTTTTTGTGGAGATGGGGTTTCACCATGTTGGCCAGGATGGTCTTGATCTCCTGACCTTGTGATCCACCCATCCGGGCCTCCCAAAGTGCTGGGATTTATTTATTTTTTTGAGATGGAGTCTCGCTCTGTCACCTAGGATAGAGTGCAGGGCACAGTCTCGGCTCACTGCAACCTCTACCTCCAGGGTTCAAGCGATTCTCCTGCCTCAACCTCCTGAGTAGCTGGGACTACAGGTGTGAACCACCACGCCTGCCTAATTTTTATATTTTTAGTAGAGACAGGGTTTCGCCATGTTGCTCAGGCTGGTCTCAAAGTCCTGACCCCACCGATCAGCCCACCTCAGCCTCCCAAACTGCTGGCACTACAGGCCTGAGCCACTGAGTCAGACCAAGACCCTGCCTTCTGATTCTCCCCAGCAGGGCAGCAATTAATGAGTGGTCTCTTCCCCCGTACACAGCTGGTATCTCCTAAGTGCATGCTCCCTGTCTCGCCTGGCAGTACCCTGGTAACAGTACTTTACCTGCCAGACCCTGCCTTCACTTCTGGCCTCCAGGCAGCTGTCAGTTTCCCCCACCCAGGATGCCTACCCTTCTCCTGCCTCCAGGGTCCCACCCTCACACACTCCTGTCTGGGCTCTCCCAGCCCTGAACCCCCGTGGCTGTGCTCCCTACCCCAGACTGGGGTTCCTGAGGATCCCCCAAAGCAGCATGAGACCTCATGGAGGACAGAACAGACCTCAACATGGTCTAAACATTTTCTCCCACGTGTGGAGGGGTGAGCTCCCCGTCGCTGGAGGCATGCAAGCCCCAGGGACCGCACCTTCCACGTATTCCATGACCATACACAGGTGGCGCCGGGTCTCAAAGGAGCAGAACATGCTGACCACAAAGGGGTTCTCGGCAAAGGTGAGGATGTCACGCTCCACAAAGACCTGCTGGATCTGGTTACGCAGCATCAAGTTCTGTTTGTTGATCTTCTTGATTGCAAAGCGCTGCCGGGTGTCACGGTGCCGCACCAAGTACACAGCCCTGGGGACAGGGGCCAGGCTTGCTGGGACCTGGGATCGAGGCCCCAGCAGGCGCTGCCGCCCAATAGAGCCCAGATCCCAGCCTGTCTGGCCTCTGCCTGTGCTGTGCCCCCGCCCGGGCCACGCTTTCTCCTTACCTGGTCCCCCTCCCAGAGTGGCCACCTTGGGTTTAAGCCACCATCACCAGCAGTCATATACATGGCCCTCTATGTTGTATGTTTCTTTCATTTTTATATTTTTATCTTAGAGACAGAATCTCAGTCTGTCGCCCTGGATGTAGTACAGTGGCACAGTCTCAGCTCACTGCAATCTCTGCTGCCCGGGTTCAAGCGATTCTCCTGCCTCAGCCTCCCAAGCAGCTGGGATTACCGGTGCCCACCAGCACACCTGGCTCATTTTTGTATTTTTAGTTAGACACGGGGTTTCACCATCTTGGCCAGGCTGGTCTTGAACTCCTGACCTTGGCCTCCCAAAGTGCTGAGATTACAGTCCAGAGCCACCGCGCCCCGCGTCTTTTATCTTATTTTACCTTTTTGAGACAGTGCCTCACTCTTGCCCAGGCTGGGGTGCAGTCATGGGATCACGGCTCACTACAGTCTTTAAGCCTCCCCCTTTGCCACCAGGCTCAAGTGATGCTCCCACATCAGAAGCCTTGTTAATGTTTAAAGTTTTTGGTAGAGATGGGGCCTTGCTATATTGCACAGGCTAGTCTCAAACTCCTGGCCTCGTGTGATCCTCCCGCCTCAGCCTTCCAAAGCGCTGGGATTACAGGTGAGAACCACTGCACCTGGCTGCTTGTGTATTTCTTTCTCTCTCTCTCTCTTTTTTGCTTTGAGATGGTCTCACTCTGTCGCCCAAGCTGGAATGCAGTGGGGTAATCTCGGCTCAACGCAACCTCTGCCTCCTGGGCTCAGGTAATCCTCCCATTTCAGCCTCCCAAGTATCTGGGACCATTATACCCAGCTAATTTTTCTATTTTTAGTAGAGATGGGGTTTTGCCATGTTGGCCAGGCTGGTCTTGGACTCCTGGCCTCAAGTGATCCTCCTGCCTTGGCCTCCCAAAGGGCCACCACACCTAGTCCAGCTCTTTTAAAAGCCCGCTAGCACCGAGCTCACATGTTTACACATCAAATTGTTTTACACACAGCCCGAATAAGCAGAATGTTAGCCAGTGAGAGCCTGTTTGCTTTGCAGGCTTGGGAAGCAGCATCCTGTGTCTCTGAGCCATGGATAAGATGAACCTTGTGGGTTTCTTTCTTTTCTTTTTTTTTTGATAAGAGTCTCACACTGTCGCCCACGCTGTAGTGCAGTGGGGTGATCTCAGCGCACTGCAATCTCCACCTCCCGAGTTCAAGCAATTCTCCTGCTTCAGCCTCCTGAGTAGCTGGGACTACAGGCACGCGCCACCACACCCGGCTAATTTTTTGTATTTTTAGTAGAGATGGGGTTTCACCATGTTGACCAGGATGGTCTCAATCTCCAGACCTCGTGATCTGCCCGCCTAGGTCTCCCAAAGTGCTGAGATTACAGGCGTGAGCTACGATGCCCGGCCAACCTTGTGGATTTTAAGACCCTAAGTTGCAACCACCCTGCAGGACTCTCTGACCCAGAGACTCAGTGTTCCCGCTGTAGAACATCACCTAGACACGTAAGCCCCTCTCTGATCCCCCTCTCCCCCCAGAGTTCCCTTGCCGGCTTCTCCCTCTTGATGGTGGCTCCTGGAACCTCAGCCTCCAAAGGGCTTATGCTGTGAGGGACTTCCCTTGTATGCAAACCTGCCATTCAAAGCATCACCTAAATAAAGCTCACTGCGAGCAACTCCCACTGGGTGGACATCTATTTCCTTAATCAGCCGCCCCCCTCCTACGCTTGATCTAGCCCACCAGGCCTCAGGGAGGGCGGGGCCCGAGTGGACTAGGGCAGGGCCTCTGAGGTGCGGTCAGGGCCTTTCAGAAGGCCCACATGTCAAGCCCCTAGAATGCCCTACACCTGGGCAGACTGGTAGACAGAGCACACGTGAGGCCGTGTCTCCATTTTCCCCTCCAGGCCTCGGGTGGGCCTCTCTGTCCATTCAATGGTGAATGTGTGAGGCCTCCTGCGGTGGGATGGGGATGCAGGAACTGCCTGGGCCTCAACCATCCCCTCCGGCATCTGTGAAATGGGTCTATACAGGACTCACCCATAGGCTCCGTTGCTAATAAGTTTGATGGTCTCAAAGTCGCTCTCGCATGGCTTCCTCCGTGACTGGCCGACCAGGGTGCGGCTCTGGGGGATGAGAAGGGCTGAAAGTCCTGCCCACTGCAGAGCTGGCCTGGCTCCTGCCCCCAAGCCCAAACCTCTGGTCCTGGTGCCCGATGCTACCTCCTCCCCTGTCCAAACTTCTCCAACTCAGCTACTGACTTTCTGTACTTTTTTCGCTCACAGCTGTGCCTCCTCCTGGAAAACTCTTACACATCCTGCAAAACTCACCTTTTCGGTGCCCCTCCCCCCCGACCTCCAAGGCAGGGCAGTCCCACGTGCCATCACCTTGCCTCCAAAGTCACACATGCCAATTAACCTACGTGCACGACCTCGGCAAACCCAGCCCTTTCTTCGGGTTCTTGGTCCACTCTGGAAAGAACAAGATGGGCGGGGCCCGCAGGCTCTGCGACTCACCTCCGGGGACTCGGGCGCTGGGGGCTGTTCTTCTTCGAGGTGACTCAGTGGTACCATCTCTGCAAGATGAAGGAGGAGCCTCAGCTGGAGCCTCCCACCTCACCCTGAATCACTCGGCAATTTCTTGAGGCCTCTAGAGTTCTCAGCCCAGGCTGGGAATGCGGTGTCTCCCCTGGCCAGCTCCCACGACACTGTCATGAAGCCACACCTGGGAGGCTGGATGAAGCAGTGACTGAGGAACCTTCTAGAAGGGCCAGTGGGCTGCCCCGGCTCCGAAGTGTTCAATCATGATCAAACTCGGGCTCTGAACACAGATGTGACACAGGCCCCCGGGTGTCAGCTCCCAACATCTTCCTCAGCCCAGGTGGAGGGTCTAGTACGTTCTGGCCCCAGGCCTTGGCAGAGGGGCAGCCCTAGCAAATGCCCAGCAAACATGGTCCAGATACAGACCACATGTGACTTGGCCTCAGGCACGGCTGGGTTGGATTCCCGGCTCAGCCTCATCTGCCTGGAGCCTCGGTTTCCCCAGCTTTTTTATTAGTATGATTATTTATTTTATTTATCTATTTATTTTTCTGAAATGGAGTCTCGCTCTGTCACCCAGGCTAGAGAATGCAGTGTTGCCATCTCGGCTCACTGCAACCTCCGCCTCCTGGGTCCCAGCGATTTTCCTGTCTTAGCCTCCCGAGTGGCTGGGATGACAGGCGTGCGCCACCACACCCAGCTAATTTTTGTATTTGTATTATCTTTTCTGTTTTTCTTTCTTTTTTTTGCTTTTAAAACGTTTTTATTATTATTATTTTTGAGACAGAGTCTCACTCTGTCGCCCAGGCTGGAGTGCAATGGCACGATCTCGGCTCACTGCAACCTCCAGCTCCTGGGTTCAAGCAATTCTCTTGTCTCAGCTTCCCGGGTAGCTGGAATTACAGGCACGCGCCACCACGCCCAGCTAATTTTTGCATTTGTATTTGTATTATTATTATATTTTGAGACAGAGTCTCACTCTGTCGCCCAGGCTGGAGTACAGTGGTGCGATCTTGGCTCACTGCCTCCCCAGTTCAAGGGATTCTCCTGCCTCAGCCTCCCAAGTAGCTGGGATTACAAGCGCCCACCACCACGTCCAACTAATTTTTGTATTTTTAGTAGAGATGGGGTTTCACCATGTTGGCCAGGCTGGTCTTGAACTCCTGATTCCAGGTGACCTGCCTGCCTTGGCCTCCAAAGTGCTGGGTTTACAGGTGTGAGCCACTGCACCCAGCCGAATTTTTGTATTTTTAGTAGAGACAGGTTTCACCATGTTCGCCAGGCTGGTCTCCAACTCCTGACCTCAGGTGATCTGCCCGCCTCTGCCTCTCAAAGTGCTGGGATTACAGGCATAAACCAGCAGGCTCGGCTGATTTGATATTTTAGAGACAGGCTCTTGCTCTGTCACCCAGGCTGGAGTGCAGTGGGGCCACGATGGCTCATTGCAGCCTCAGCCTCCTAGACTCAAGCGATCCTCCCATCTCAGCCTCCCGTGTAGCTGGGACTACAGGCATGCACCACCACACCTGGCTAACTTTAAAAAATACTTTTTATAGAGATGGGGTCTTGCTATGTTGCCCAGGCTGGAGTGCAGTGGTGTGAACATAGCTCACTGCAGCCTCAAACTCCTGGGCTCAAGCAATCTTCCCACCTCAGCCCCCCAAGTAGCTATGACTACAGGTATGTGCCATCATGCCTGGCTAATTTTTTTAAAAATAGAGGCAGGGTCTCACTATGTTGCCCAGGCTGGTCTCAAACTCTTGGCTTCAAGTGATTCTCCTGCACTGGCTTCCCACAGTGCTGGGATCACAAGTGTAAGCCACCGAGCCCAGCCTCCCCAGCTTTAAATCGGGACAGTGGCAGGCCGGTCCCACTCCATGTATGGTGCAACCTCGGAGTCTGTGCTGAGGCCAGTGCCCTGCCTGCTCCACTCTCTCCTTTGGATCTGCACCTGGTCACCTCCTGTCTGAATGCTGCCTCCCCCCAGAGCCTCCCCTGACGACTGCAGGACCAGGCTAGGTCCAAGTTCAATGCTCCAGGTTTCGGTTCCTCTTATCCTGGCTATTTGTGGAAATTGTGTTTTGTTTTTCTTTTCTCTTTCTGAGACAGGGTCTGGCTTTGTCACCCAGGCTGGAGGACAGTGGTGTGATCACGGCTCTCTGCAGTCTTAACCTGCCAAGTTCGAGTGATCTTCCCACCTTAGCCTCCCAAGTAGCTGGGACTACAGGTGTGCACTACTATACCCAGCTACTTTTTTTTTTTTTTTTTTGAAACGTAGACTTGGTCTGTCACCCAGGCTGGAGGGCAGTGGCGTGATCTCAGCTCACTGCAACCTCCATCTCCTGGGTTCAAGCGATTCTCCTGCCTCAGTCTCCTGAGTAGCTGGGATTACAGGCATGTGCCACCACACTTGGCTAATTCTGTGTTTTTAGTGAAAACGGGGTTTCACCATGTTGGCCGGACTGGTCTTGAACTCCTGGCCTCCAGTGATCCACCCACCTCGTCCTCCCAAAGTGCTGGGATTACAGGTGTGAGCCATGGTGTCCGGCCTCCACCTGGCCTTTCCCAGCCTTGGTTTCCTCTTCCCATCCCGGCTTACCCTCCAGGGGGTCCTTGGCCAGGCCCAGTTGCCCAATGATGTACTGTGGAAGGTCGGTCTTAATGCCTTGGCCCTCCCGCGCATGGCCCTCGGCCGCCTCCAGTAGGTGGTAAAACTCCTCGGGGTCAAACTCCTAGGGGCACAGGAGGGCTGGTCACCCAGGGCTTGGTTCCATCTGCAGGCCTTTGCATATGCTGTTCCCTCTGCATATGCAATGGAGCACCCTTCCCAGCAATTGCGGCTCACCCACTGGGTCTCTGTTCCTGACCCCTCCTCGGGGAAGGCCACACTAGCCCAGCAGCACCCTCCGTGCCTCTCAAAGCCCTGTACGATGGGATCTGTCACTTGTATCTCGGCAGGACTGTCATGGGTGCAGTCTCAGTTCTGCCTGGACCCCACGCTGGCCGTACGAAAAGAAACGTACCAGACACTCCAGCAGCCGAGCCGGCCGTGAGATGATAATCAGCAGTTTCCGGACAAGCTGGACGATGAAACTGACCTCCTCACTGTCTGAGCGCTCGTGGGCCTGGGGGAGGTGGGTCATGGCGTCATCCACAAGCCCTCAGCTCCGTCTGGCCTGGGCACCCCTCCTTGCCCCGCATCTCACTACATGCAAAAACCCCAACACGCAAAAAACCACCTACATCCTGCAGAAGCCGCTCCAGCTTGTCCTGCATCTCTAGGAAGTATCGGGAGGTGACGAGGTTTTCACCAGACTTGGCCAGGCAGTCTCGGGCCAGCTCGACAATCTGGTGGTGGATGAAGCCCAAGACGCCATCAGCCAGTGCCAGCCGGGCGCCAGGCGCGTAGGCCGTCAGGAACTCCTGCAGACGGCCCTCCATCTGTGCTGTGGCCTGGGTGGGGTGAGACGGGGCAACCTGGTCAGAGGGCGGGGCTGGAGTGACACACATGGAAGTGGGCAGGAGGGGCACGGCTGGGGAGAGAGGAGATGGGGCGATGGGGGCTATGGGATGGGAGGGCTGGGGCAGGAGCAATGACATCTTTCAGTGGAAGGGGAGGGAAAGATGGACATAAACGCAAGGGCAGCGCAACCAGGAAGACAGAGTGCCATGGAGAGACAGCAACATGGAGAGAAGCACAGGGGCTGGTCCAGCCGCCAGGCACTGCCCACCTTGGGGAACCTCTCCCGGTACACGTGATTCATCATGACGATCTCATTGTCGAAGGTCCCCGTCGCGCGGCCCGGGCTGAAGGAAAGATGGCTGCTTGTGATATGGGACCTGAGACCAACCCCTGGGGGAGGCTGTTGGGATCTCTGAGCCGGGGCCGAGGGACAAGAGTCAGAGGCGAGGCGCAGGTAGGATCAGGGCTGGGATGGAGGAGGAGCCACCACTCAGGCCTCCAAGCCAGCCCAGGGAGAGGCTGGGCCTGGGGCCAGGGGTCAGGACCCACCTAAGACTTCGGGAGCGGGGGCGGAGGCGGGGTGACCGGCCGCCTTCCTCATCAAGTACATTCTCTGAGCTGCGGAAGTGCTTGGACAGGAAATGCAGCTCGTCCGGCGTCGGCTGGAAGGGAAGCTGGTGGAGACGTTCCCGGGAGGATGAGCTTGACTAGTAGGGAGCAGTGGTGAGCAGAGCCATGAGTCACTGTCAGTGCTTCGACTGGGACCCAGCACCACCCCTCAAGGCCCAGGCTGCCTGCTGGCCATCAGATGGTAACATTCTTTCTCCTGCCTAGCTCCTATGCATCCCTCAAAACCCTACCTCTGATGCCCCCTCCTCCAGGAAGCCCTTCCTGCCTGTACCCCTGGGCAGCCCCAAGTTCCCCTCTGGCCAAGCCCTTACCCCAAGCCCTTATCCCCAGGGGGATATCTGTATCCCCCTGACTAGTGGCTATTTCGGGGCCAAGGCTGGGTCTTCTCAGGGGCCCCTGCATTTCCCAAAATGAGGCATGGAGGAAGTAGCTAGCATGTTTGCTGACTGCACAACTATCCAACACCTTGAAAAAAACCCCACAAAGATGTGTCCCCCCACAACCCGGCATCTGCCTGTCCGCCTGCCAAGGTGGGACTATGGGTACCGAGAGGGTGGAGCTGGGTGTGTTGGTTCCATAGCCGGAAGATGGGAGGGACGCGAGGGACCATCTTCTGCCGTCTGCCCTGGAGAGGGAAACAAGAACATGTGGAAGGAAGGCCCAGCCCCTGCGGTTTGCGGGGACCAAGAGCAGACACTGTGGCCAGCATATTCTGGCCCTGTTGTAGGAAGGACTTCTTGAAAAACACCAAGAACATAGACACAGCCTGACCAAGTCCACTGTACGCTCTCTCTCTTCAGGCATCTCTTCCAGGAAGCCCCCTGTGACTTCAGCTACCACCGTGTCCCCTTGTCAAAGCTTCAACCTCTGACTTGTAGTTTCTGGGGCACACACTGGCTGCCCCCACCAGAGGACTCCCCAGGGGCCAAGGGCAGGCCACCCATTTGCAACCATGCCCTCAGCCCCTAGCACAGAGCATGCACACAGCAGGAGCTTAATGAATGTTGTTGTATGAATACATAAAATGCAAGCGTCTTGCGACATGACAGGTGCTCAATCAGCTCTTGTTAAATGAATGAATGAATGATTTCTTTAGGGAGTTAATAATTCTTAGACGGGGCTGTATCCCCCCATGACCCCGCACCCCGTGGGCTGGTTGAAATTACCTGTCCGTGCGTGGGACGTGGCTGCAAAATGTCATGCATTTGGTAGGGATGGGAGCCAGAGGGGGAGACCACCACCAGACGGGCCAGGGGAGGGGAAAAGATGAATGAAATGAATGAGGAGCCAGGTCTAGCCACCGAGCACGTACCCCTGCCCACCCCCTGCCCGTGGTGCCCGCACTGTCTCCCAAAGGCGGCAGTCACTCACCTCCGGGCAAAGGGGAAGTTGAGGGCAGAGGCAGCCGAGAAGTTCCGAGGGCTATCCAAGGGGCTGCTGCCTGCTGAGGAGGAGGTGGGGAAACTGAGTCAGCGGGGCAGACGCAGGACACAGCATCCGCTGGCTGCTCCCACACTCACCCGTTGGGACTGACAGTGGCGACAGGGGCCGGGAGAGGGTCGGGGAGGGCGTTCCTACCACCAAGCTCTTTCGGTTCCCGCTGCGGCAGCTGTGGGGGGAGAAGGGGACAGGCTTAGGGGGCTGCCCAGGCCCCCGTGCTAAAGGACCACATGCCAAGCCTAAATCACACAGGCAGTCCGCTCTGGAGCAGGATGGGACATTGGACCTGACCATGCCCACTCTGCCCCCAGCTGGGTTCCGCCATGGCCCTTAGCCAGGTCTGGCAGGGAGTCACCCCTTGACTAACATTCCTTACTATTGAAGCTACTGCTGGCCAGGCATGGTGGCTCATGCCTGTAACCCCAGTGCTTTGGGAGGCCAAGGTGGGAGGATCCTCTGAAGCCAGGAGTTCAAGACCAGCCTGGGCAACAAGCAAGACCCCATCTCTATACAAAATTTAAAAATTAGCTGGGTGTGGTGGTGCACACTTGTAGTTCCAGCTGCTCAGGAGGCTGAGGCAAGAGGATCACTTGAGCCCCAGGAGGTGGAGGCTGCAGCAAGCCATGATCATGCCACTGTACTCCAGCCTAGGTGACAGAACAAGACCCCGTCTCTTAAAAAAACAAAAACAAGGCTGGGCATAGTGGCTCACACCTGTAATCCCAGCACTTTGGGAGGCCGAGGAGGGCGGATCACCTGAGGTTGGGAGTTTGAGACCAGCCTGGCCAACATGGAGAAACCCCATCTCTACTAAAAATACAAAAGTAGCCCGGTGTGGTAGTGCCCGCCTGTAGTCCCAGCTACTTGGGAGGCTGAGGCAGGAGAATCACTTGAACCCGGGAGGCGGAGATTGCAGTGAGCTGAGATCACGCCATTGCACTCCAGCCTGGGTGACACGAATGAAACTCTGTCTCAAAAACAAAAACGAAAACAAATTATCAGCAGTGTTGTTAACAGCAAGGGCACGAAGGGTTTCGAGCCTGACAGTGGACACTCCATATGGCCAGGAGCCCCTGTCCCGGTTTTTCAGGGTTCTGTGTTACAGTCCCACCCCTACATCTTTCCCTGTGCCCTGGCTACTGCTGCCAGCACCGGCAAATCGGGGGGGCCGCACCCTGCAGCCCAGAGATGAGCTGAGGCACCCCATTCTACCCACCCCTCCTGAAGCCTCTGCCCTCATCTCGACAACCCTCGTTTTTCCCAAGATGCCCCTACGATGCCAGTGCAACCCAACTGAAACCCTAAGTGCCACCCCGTGCAGTCCTGCCTGTGCGGCTGGACTTTCGCCCACGTGTTTTCCTCCTTCCATCCCGGTTCCCATCTGGCCACCAGACCCCTGGCCTGTGTCTTTCACACTCACACCCTGCCTGGCCTCTTCTCCCACCTGGGCCCCGGCCCCAGCCCACACCTTGACAGAAGGCAGCTGGGAGCGACACGGTCCCCCGCCCCAGCAGAGCAGTCACCCAGCAACAGCTCTGCTCGACAGGAGCATCAGCCCACACACCCCAAGCTGCCAACGCAGCTCAGCGGCAGGAGAACCTCACAGGGAGGGAGAGATGAAGTCTCGGGGCCTCCGAGGTGTAGAAATGGGGGTCCCCGGCACAACGCAGGTCAAGCCATGGGAGAATCAGCGTACGATTGACAAGGAACACAGGTGACAAAGTGGGCAGGGAGAAGAGGCCAGGCCTGTCTGTGTCTCCACCTGTGGCTGTGCCTTGAGCCTCAGTTTCCCCATCTCTGTACCTTGAAGGATGAAACCTACATGCAGTGCTCAGCTTTGGGCTGGACTCGGGTGCATATGTGGCTGTCTCTGCCTGGCCATGGCTCACAGGGCCTGACTCACGCCAGGAGCGCAGGCAATGCCTCCTGAGTGAATTCCATCCCCAACATGTACCAATCCCAACAAGCCGCAGAGTTGGGAGAGACTGGCTGGGCCCATTTCCCCAACTGGGAAACTGAGGCCATAGATGTCAACAGCCACAGTGATAGTCTCCCAGCCTGAGCTGCAGAAGCAAAAGTGAAACCCGCAGGCTTCTGCAAAACTTCCTGCCAGCCCCCCAGCGCACGCTTACCTGCCTGTCTCCACATCCTCTCCCAGCCCCTCACCTGGTTCCTCGCCCCCACACTGCACCACAGCACCCTCCTTCTTCCATCCTGCTGTGTCACTTGCCGCTTCCAGAAACATTTGGGAAAAACACTTAGTCGCCCTCCCTCCTGTTCTAGGGTGAGGTCTTCTTGAAAACAAGCCCAAATGTGAGGCCTCAAAGGAGAACCAGGCATCATCGGTTCACTTCCCAAGCATCTATGCAGGGCCGACTGCTTGCCCAACTCTTCCAGGAGGAGATCCAGGACCTCAAGAAGTTGCCATTTGAGAACCATCTTCTCTTGATACCCAGGACACAACAGACAGAATGTGGCAGAGAGCAGGGGCTTGAAGCCAGCCAGCCTCCTGTCCCTCATCCCTCTGGCACCCATATTCCCCTTCCAATGCTCCCCATGATCTTGGAGGGAAGTTTAAGCCCTGGACACAGCATTCAAGGTCTTTCAGTAGCTGGTCTCGCTGCCCAGACTTTGCCCCAGTCCAGCACCAATAAGAAACCCAAGCACAGAGAGGTTAAGGCGCTACCTGAGGTCACACAGCTTGGTAGTGGCTGAGTCGAAATCTGAACCCAGGTCTGGCAGAATCCACAGCCCTCACTTAGCCTCCCTGCTTTTCAAAAGGGGAAACAGACTCTAAGAGAGGTGAGGCTTTGGTGGGGGTTAACCCCAGCTATCTGGACTCCTGACACCCCACCCACATGCCAGCCTCGTGCAGTAAATATTTGCTTCTGAGCCAACATTTCTGCTGAACGGGCCCCCAGGGAAAGATCAGCCTGTTTTTCCGAGAAGTTCCTCCCAGGTTCTGCCCAGCCCTGGACACCCGGTTCGAATCCTAGCTCAGTCACAACTCATTCCTGTCTGTCATCACCCCAGCTGCGACGCTGATGGACACCCCAGTCCAAGGAACAAGGGGCGAAAGGAGGGTGCCAGGGACCCCAGGGGACACCTCGACCGCAGGCGTCCTCTCCCCTTCCCACTGCTGCCACACACACACGCTCGCCGTGGCCCCCGCCACGCGGCCAGGACACACTTCTGGCAGCTCCTGTTTGCTCGGCAGACCGCCGAGCCTTCGCCGGCGCCGTGCCCCCTACCTCTTGGAGCGCTGCAGCAGCGCGCCCTTGGCCAGGCGGCTGCGATGGCCGGGAGCCGCCACCGCCGTCCAGTAGCTGGGGTCGGACATGCTGCTTCCCTTTGTGCCGCCGCCGCCGCCCGAGGCCGGGAAGGCGCGGGGGCGCAGCCGGCGGCGGCGGGGCGCGAACCTCGGCGGCGGGATCGGCCCCGGGAGCCCCGCGGAGCTGGGAGGGGTTGGGGGCACGCTGGGCTGCGGGGTTAAGGGGGCGGCGAGAAGGAAGCGCGCGCCCCCGAGAGCGGACGGGAACTCCGCCCAGGCGAGTGCGGGGGCGGGGCCTGTTGGGGGCGGGGCCTGCCGGGAGGCGGAGCGAGCGACGCGGAAGCGAGGCCGGCGGACCCCGAGCGGGCGAGTGGGCGGGGCGCTGCCAGGGCCGCGGGCGGAGAGGCGGAGCGTTGCTAGGGCCGCGGGCGGCGGGGGCGGGGCGTTGGCAGCTTTCGAGCCAGGGACAAGGTTTTTGGCTCCTTTCTGCCAACGTGTTAATCTAATCACTCCCTCCCTCCTTTTCCTCTCTCCCGGGGCACTGACCCCTTCTCAGTGCGGCTCCCAAGACCCACCCAGGGTCCTGGCCCGGCTCATGCTACCACGCCCACCCTGATCCCACTACCGGGAATCTAGCTTGGCAAGACAGCGTCCCTTCCTCTGAAAAACCCTCTTTCGTGTCTGGCCGGCTCTGTCTTCCCCAGGTTAAGGGGCTCCTTGGGGTCCCAGCAGTTCCCAGCACCGGACTGGCACACAGGGTGTGTTTGGCAAATTGAGTCGGGGCGTCTGACATGCTCTGCCTCTGTGTGGCGGGAAAGGCCATCAGCCCTGCCTCAGTTAGGAATCGGCCACCCGATTGAACTGCAGCCTCAGTCTCCTCAACTATGAAATGGGAGGAAAACTGGGCTGACATGAGGATTACACAAATCAGATGCAAGGGGGTGCTTCCAAGGGCAGCTGGTATATGCTCTATATCTGTATATCATTTATTTCTATAATCGATAGCATCAGGCTAACTTCCAGGCCTCTATTTCCCCATGTATAACATCCCCCATACTGAAAACAGAATAAACTCTGAGACACAGAGCCTGGTACTGGGCTGAGGGCATAATGTGTTCACTGTGGAAGCCACTATGGAAGCAGAAGTGTCTCCCAAAGTAGGCACTGAATGAATGCTCCCTCCTGTCATGGCAGTCCAGGGATGTCAGGGGCAGTGTCATCACAAGGGATGCCCTTTCCTGGGCCACAGGACATTTTGGGACCCAGTCCAGACCCAATACTGGAGTCAGGCTAAAAAAAGAGATGATTTTTTTTTTTTTGAGATAGAATTTTGCTTTGTTGCCCAGGCTGTGGTGCAATGGCGCAGTTTCAGCTCACTGCAGCCTCCACGTCTAGGGTTCAAGCTATTCCCCTGCCTCAGCCTCACGAGTAGCTGGGATTAAAGGTATGAGCCAGCACGCCCAGCCTTCATCTGGCCTTTCCCAGCCTTGGTTTAAAACCAGCCTGGGTGAGGCCAAGTGTGGTGGCTCACACCTGTAATCCCAGCACAGGGATTGGGAGGCTGAAGCAGGTGGTTCGCCTAAGGCCAGGAGTTCAAGACCAGCCTGGCCAATGTGGCAAAACCCTGACTCTACTAAAGAAACAAAGAATTAGCCAGCCAGAGTGGCGGGCACCTGTAATCCCAGCCACTCGGGAGGCTGAGGCAGGATGTTGCGGTGAGTGGAGATGACGCCACTGCACTCCACCCTGGACACACACACACACACAAACAAAAAACACAGAAAGCATGTTGCCGCCCACTGTGTACCTGACCCTGTCCCCTCTTCTTCTCAAAGCTTTCCCAGACTCCCTGCCATATCCACCTCCCGGTGTCCCAGACACCCGGTGCCACCCCCAGG